ATAGGAACAAACAAACGCTAACTCAAATTTCAACAGTGTTTCGACAATATTCATTCACAGAAAAAAGTTCTACCCCAGAAAATTAGAACTTTTATTGGCAGCTGACATGACAGGCACCCATATTTATAAATAAAAAAAACCAAAACCAATAATCAAACATTAATTCTAAACAAAAAGAGTGAAAATCCTTCCCTTAATTGGTCACGTACGTAGGCCTCCTCCTCATGGATCATCATGGATCGTGGATAATGATGATGATGATGATCATATTGTAAAAAGGTGGTTGATGGGATTGGAGCTAAAGAAATCGGCGGCGTTGGGGGTAAAAACCGGAATCCCTCCGATATAAGGATTGGGCGGCACAAAGCATGAATTCATCTGAACATGCCCATCCCCTCCTCCTCCTACGCCAATGCTGACCCCTACATTAATATTACTATTAATAATATTTGTGCTGCTGCAATTCTCCTCCGTCGTGATCACCGACGACGAGTCGTTATCCTCGTTTCTCATCACAACCTTGGCGCCCTTACCACTCATCATCTCCTCCTCCAACAAACCCTCCCCTCTCTCTGCTTTCGTCGTCCTCGGCGTCTGCTGCTGCTGCTGCGGCGGCGCTTGTGCATCTTCGTCGAAGCGCGAGAGGCCCGTGAGTTTCTGCACCAACGCCATGAAATCCCGCGGATGCGTGTGTATGATCTTGGGCGAATGCGTGTAGATAATAACCGGGTGGCGCTGCTGCTGCTGCTGCGGCGGCCTCGCAGCAGCAGATCCCGCCACCGCGTTCACTAAGGATGACGTGGACGAGGAGGCGGACGAGGACGGGGAGGAAGAGGAGGAGGAGGGCGATTTCTTGATGAAATGGGAGTCCTTGTTGATCTTCAATGAGGGAGGCGGATACAAACCATTATTATTATTGTTATTGTTGTTGATGATCATGTTGACGTCCCTTTTGTTGGTTGCATGTGGGCTCATTGTAAATATATCAAAAATATGAATTTGGCACTTTGGGGGACACTTTTTTTGAGCGCAAGCAAAGCAAAGCGCATGCAGGGGCCTCTCAAAAGTACAAGAAATCAGATGAGGGTGAAATATATATAGGCATGGGAATTTGGAAAATAAAGGAAACGTACGTGTGCTCAAGAGGGTGATGAAGCCTTGCTCCTATTTAGGTGGGATTGGTTGAAACAAATTTAGAGGGTAGAATTTTGAAGGAAGCTCCGTACTCAAATCAAATGTATCGTGATCATGAATCGAGTGCGGGCGTGCCTATGATTGGATGAGTGGAATTGGCTCTCGTGTTTTGCCATATGCGTGTTTGGATATATGGATTTAAAATGTGTACTGTGCTGGTGGTTTCCGACATTGTGGGATTGGGCCAATTGAGGTGTGCCAGATGGGATGACCGTTGAGATATGTATGGGATGGGAGGTGAGGTGTTGGAATCTGAGGGCTTATCGGTGGAGCGTTGGAGTTTTTTTTTTTGAGTTCATCTTCCAGGAAGCTAGGGGCAAAGGCAAAGCAGCAAGACGTTCTCGTGTTTCTTAGGTAGCTCTCTGCCTCTTTCTCTTTACGAGTTGCGTGATGTTGTCATCCATTTACACGCTTTCCATGCATTCAAATCTCATCTCCCACTTGGAGGTTTAGACTAATTAATCAGAGTAGTGAATCCGTCTCCTTGTATCTAAATTCGAGTCTTATCTCTCATTTTACACTTCACTTAATGATATGGTGGGATGGGATACACTTACATGTCCAATATTAATATATGCCCAAACGCCCCTTGTATGAAAGCTCAGACTTTCAACCCAGAAAGATAAAAAACAGAAGGCTTGGACTCTCCAAAAGCAAAAGCTAGAGGAGAACTTCTAAAATTGGTTGTGGTGCCAATTAGCAGGTGGTTTCTGAAGAGAATAGCACTAATGATGCATCTAATCATGCTAATATTACAGCCAATCACCACGACATCAGAGCCTTGACTTCCTCATCCTCATATCACTCTACTGATCATACGTGATTTCAGGAATTATATCAATCTCTTGTAATCTTTGTTATCTTGTTTCCTTCTAGGACTAATATTACCATATATGTTGTATCAATAGTCAAACTGTAATTGTATAAAGCAAGCATGAATAGAAATCAATGGTCATCGAGCTATTCCCCAAATATCTGCTCTGTTCTAATTCTTCTTCACTGTTCTTATTTTTCTATATGGTATCAGAGCCCATCTGGGCTAAAGCCACTCGATCCTGGATTCTATGACTCCCACTCAGTCTTCTTCTATTTTCTCTTCTGTAGACTCCCTAATCTCACAAAAGAATTCTTCCACAACCATGACCAACCAAACATCATCACTCCCTACCTCATTCAATATTTCTCATCTTTTCTCCACACCCATGGATCGTAATAACTATTTGTGCTGGAAGTCTCAATTTCAGGATATCCTAGAGATTCATGACCTTGAGGAAGTTGTGAAAAGTGATGCACGACCTGACAAGAAACTAGCAGATGGATCCATCAATCCCGCCTACTCCAAAGACAAGCTTGTGTTGAGTTGGATCAAGGCCACTTCATCCCCACAAATCAAAACTCTCCTTATTCCTTGTACGACAGCATCAGAAGCATGGTCTCTCCTTGATAAGAGACTCTCTCCTCTCTCTAAGACTTATATTCGTACCCAGCGAGACCAAATAAGGACCTTGAAGAAAGAATCAGAAAACACGGTTGCTGAGTACTTGATGCATGCCAAATCCCTCTATGATTCTCTTGTTGCGGCTGGATCTCAAATGACAGATGAAGAGCTTATCGAGTATATTCTCGATGGCCTAGGTCACGACTATAAGGAGTTCACAACATCCCTTCACCTCCGCTCCTCGCTTTCTTTTGATGAGTTCTATGACCTTCTCATTCAAGAGGAACAATTAATCAAGAAGATGTCTTCTGTTTCCCTTTCCTCAGGGATGGCTCAGCAGATCGATCGACAAATCAGCATGAAAATTCAGATAGAAGGCAATACAATAATAACCACTCAAACAACAATTATCAAGGACAAGGACGTGGCCGTGGACGAGGTCGAGGGTGGTATTCAAATCGTGACAGAAACTGGAGTAATGGTAACAATTACAAAGACCACAACTGGAACCAAAACAGTCAGAGACGAAGCTGGAATAAATCAAACACTGATCAGCAGCGTGGGAATTCATCATCAGCGAATTATTCACATCAGGTCTCATCAGATACTCGTCCTCCATTGCTCCCAACACCGATTCAGCAACAAAATTATCAGTTTTCAGTGATTTGTCAACAGTGCAACAAAGTTGGCCATACCTCAAGGATCTGTCCAGAACGAGGAAACTTTGCATACCTTGCTGAAACCAATAGTGCTGCTGTTTCATTACCAGGTCAAGTTACTTCACCCAATCACTCGGTTACAAATTGGTGCGTTGATTCAGGGGCAACACATCACATGACCTCAGATCCTTCATCTCTCTCTAATGTTCAGCCATATACAGGTACAGACTCCATAATTGTTGGTGACGGAAATTCATTACAAATATCACATATTGGTAAATCTCACTTGTCAATATCAAATGGGTCTTTGGTCCTTAATGAAGTGTTGTGTGTCCCTGCTATCAAAAAGAATCTTTTGTCCATACGTCGTTTTACTCGTGATAATGATTGTTACTTTGAGATGGATTTTAATGGTTTTTGTGTGAAGGACAACAAGACGGGCAAGGTTCTTCTTACTGGCAGTAGCTATGGCGACCTATATTACATTCATACCAGTCCTCAGATTTCAGAAAAGCTAGTTTTCTATGGTGAAAGAGCAACTCAGGATGTGTGGCATGCTCGCCTTGGTCATCCCTCATCTGCAATTCTCCGTGTGTTAATTAATCAGTATCACCTGCCTATTAATGGTAGCATTGTTTTTAATAAAGTATGCCATGTTTGTCCTCTGGGAAAATCTTGTCGACTCCCATTTTTTTATAGAAATTCTCATTCACAACAACCGTTGGAGCTTCTGCATCTTGATTTATGGGGTCCTGCTCCAATATCGTCAAATTTTGGGTATAGATTTTATCTGTCTATTGTGGATGATTGTACG